CCTGCACCCTCCAGCCCCGGTGAAACATGTCCTCGTGTTTCTGGCCCTGAGTCCGGGAGACAAAAGGCAGCTGCATCAAAGTCTCAGGGAGGCCGTGGGCTGTGCTGTCGCCACCTCGAGAAGGGAGGCAGGACGCTGCTTCAAAGGGAGGCGGGTTGCGCAGGAGGCGCCAGGAGGGAGCCTCTCTCCTCCGTCCTCCCCGGCGGCCTGACGCACGAGGTCTTGCAGAACGAACGTCACTTCCCACTAGTTCTGAACATCCGTTCTCTTGTGTCCCTTCACTTCCAGCTTGGGGGCCTGGGAGTGCTCGTGACTTAGTGGGCAATTCACCAGTGTTGCGGGGTGAGAAGGCACATCTGGAGGCATCAGACGGAATGCATCTCACCCAGAGATTTACATGCCTGCACGTCCACACACAACCCGTGTCATGCACGGAAGCACCTGCTTACTCTGGCAACTGGGGCCACGCACACTGGACTTGCAAACACTTTTATTTTCATCGAACATTTGGCAAAATGTAACTGAATTTCAATAAAAAACTCTTCAAAAGCCAACTTTACTCAAGTAATTTTATTTAAAATGTTTTATACTCATTAGCTATCATTTATATTTTGCCTTTTTATTTTAATAGAGAATTTAGAGCATTTTAGAAGAAAAATCCTTATGAAAACATATTAAACAATTTTAATTTTTTCTCTAGGTTTACTCTTCGTTTGTGCTTCTTATGAAACATAATTAGATTGTATACAGTTTGAATACAATTACATTTTAAAACATCTCTTAGGTCATTACTGTCAGAGGAACAGAAATTATAAAAATTGTAAAAATTTGATTACAACATAATTGGAGATTTTGCTGAAATGAAAGCATGAAAAACAAATTTTACGAAATAAATGTGTACTAGTTTGTGAAGTATGTACATCTCTACTTTATAAGTCATTCAAACATGGCCAGCCCATCAGCAGAACACCCGAAAACACATAATTATAATTCAACTCAATCGGTTTGGACATATTTCTGACTTTCCGTCCCGTGAGAACTGGCTTCCCATATATTCTTGAACTTGCCGTTAGGAAAGTACATTTGAGTAGAAGGACTGAACACGCTTTCTCTTCCAGTCCGTTGGCGTGACTGATGACCGTTAGACATTGGGACACGCGGCAGGAGGACCCCCGACTCCGCACAGGCGAAAGTGTTACCAGCCAGAACAGGTAGGTTCTCGAGGTCTCCAGGCAAGGAGGAGGAGGAGGACCCACCAGAAGGGGCTTTGTAGGAGCGGCCCCCCAGTCTATGCTACCAGGTCACAGCGCGCCTACCAGCAACGACAATAGTCACAACCACTGAACTTCTGGTTCCAAGCCTTGAGTTACGATCTCTCCCAACAATGTGACGAAACAGATACTGTCAGAACCCGCCCCACTGCCCAGAGAAGAAAATAGAGGCAGTGGAAAGTGAGGTCCTTTGCCCACAGTGTCCAGTTAGCAGGTGGTATAAAGCCAGGCGGCCTGACATGTGGAGTCCTGAGAGTAAAGGACCCCTCACAGTGGGCGGGGCCTAGACGTGCCCCACCCCCACAGGCTCGTGCAGACACAGGCACCCCTGCAAAGCGCACAGGCCTCGCACTGCACACGGCACTTCCTGTGCCTGCCGGGGGCATCCCTGCTCCTCAGAACCCCACCTCCCTCGGCCCTCTTGGGTCAGCAGCAAAGCATTTGCAAGATCAGGGGCTGCTGCCTCCTCTCCTTCCCAAGACGACCTAATCCGGGAAGCCCCGCCCCGTCTCGTGATGCGCCGGGCCTGTGCCATCCCGGAGCATGCTGCGCCCTGCTTATTGGCCTTCGCGTCCTTGCTGGTGCCCCTCCTATTCACATTCCTGGCAGCCGGAAGAGTCTTGTTTCAGGGCCTCTCAGGCGTTCCATTGTTCCCTAGACAAACACCAGCAACGCGTGGCTGTATCACTCTACAGGGACAAGGCCACCTTGTGAGCCACGCCGGCGGGCCCACCTCAAGCATTCTTGTTCTTTTCTCTCCATCACAAATGGAGAACCCAACTGTGGGGCCACACTGTGCCCAGCCTGTTCCCACCAGAGGGACCCGCCTCCCTGGCCTTGGGGTGCCCGCAGGGGCTCCCCACTGGGATGAAAAGGCCGCAGGGTTCTTTGCAGGCTTTGGGCCACCTGCCCATCAGGCCCCAGCAAACGGGTTCCTGTGGGGTGAATGGAAGGTCAAGGTCCCAAGATCAGCTGCCCGTCAAGGCTACTCATCACCAGCCCAGCTACTCCAGCCTCCTTTCAGCTTCTCCTGGGTGCTCTGCCCCTCTGACCACAGGGCCTTTGCACAGGCTCTTTCTGTATTTAAATTCTCTGTACTTCCACCTTCACCCAGGGAACGTCTTGAGATCCCTGCTGAGTCATTTCTCCCACAGTGAAGTCCTCACCTATCCCCTGCCCCAACAGACGCCCCTTTCAATGCTCTCAGAGCCCCATGGAACGTTCTGCCAAGCTGCTGACCTCTATTCGTAAGTTTTGAGTCAATAGGTAACGACTGCCGTCTGGCTTCCTACTGGACTGTCAGCCCCTGAGGCCAGAAATCACACCTGGATTGATTCTCCCATGTATCCCCCGCACATCGTCAGTCCTCAGCATAGTGTGGTGACCGAGCAGACAAAGAATCCTTCGGGTTACCCCACTCTTCTGGGAGTCTGCCGGATGCCTCGGGGGAGCAACAGTGGGGTGAGATCAGGCAGGTGAGGAGCCCCAGCCCAGCGCCTGGCACACTGTAGGAGCTTAGTCAGTGGTGGTGGTTTTGCCATTTTTATTGTTAGGATGATGATGATGATTATGATTATGATTATTATTATTTCTAAACTACAGTGGGGCAACTTTATTCACCTCCACTCCGACAAGACCGGTCAAGTAGGGACAATAATCCCACAGAAATGCTGGGGCCCTGGCCCGGCTGCAGGCTGCGCCCCCTGCCTGCAGGGGGAAGTGCCAGGAGCTGCTGGAACAGTGGCCGCCTCCTCTGTGGCCGGCTAAGGAGGAGAGAGGGACCCAATATTGCTGGGCCCCTCCTATGGCCGTGGCACCTTGCAAAGGGATGTAGACACTTCTTTTCCTCTCCACCTGGTCCAAAACTCTGAAAGGCAGGTCTAATCACCCACGGAGCATGAATGATGAAGCTGGGTTCAGAAAGGGCACAGGATCGGCCAAGGTCACACAGCTCATAAGGGGCAGAGCTAACACACACTCAAGTCCTATTCTTGCTGATGCAGAGACGATTCAACCACATGGTGCCACTGGAGAGGAAACCACAAAACCAGCCACGTCTCCTGATGCTCCGGCCTCTCCTCCAAGCCCAAGGCCTCCCAACGCCCCCACTTCAAACGTCAGCTGGGGACACAGCCGCCTAGAAGTCCTCCTGGATTTCCCTGCCTGGATTTCCCTGCCCAGATTTCCCTGCCTGGCTCTGGCCCTTCGGTCTTCGGTTTTCTGCCACAGGTACCCACTGGCGGGGACTTGCAGGGACCCCATTCCTGGCCGGGCCAGGATTCAAAATGGCTCGCGAAGGGCTTGTCTCAGGAACTCTGCCCTCGCTGGGGAACGCCCTGCTGCTGCTGCTGCTGCAGGAAGGGCTGTGGGCCAGACCTCCCCAGGAATCAAAGCAAATTCTCAGTTGTTTAGAGGGCAGCTCCTCAGTGACTCACTGTTTGGGCTCCTGTGACCCAGGCCGGGAGCCAGGGGCTGCCTGGAGGTGCCCTCGTTAAAATCAAAAGGTGATGGGGAGCCCTGGGGAGCCCCTCTCTGGAGACCACAGCTCACTGCCATGGGTGCTCCTGGTCAGGAAGGGGGTAGGGGGGTTGCTCACCTCTCTGGCCCCTCTCCCCCCAAGTCTGCTCTGTGTGGGTGAGAGAACCCAGCATGGTGTCTAGGAGGAGTTATTAGCAAGGCATGGGGCAGGAGGCAGGGCCACTGCCTACTGGAAGTCAGTGTTCACCGGCTTGCCTCTCGTGTCTGAAACCTTTCATTCCAAATCACTGCCAGGGATCCCTGCCACCAGCTTTCCTCTCCCCGTCCAAGGTGACACCTCCCCGGGGACTGTGTCCCTGGCGGGTGGGGACTGCTTCCTGTCCGCAGTGCGAAACCCCACCTCTCCACTGGAAAGGAGGCCGAGGCCAAGGCCAGGCCCCACAGGGCCCGCAAGGGGACATTCCTGGCCCTAAGCTCAGGGCCACAGCGTGACTTTTGCTTTCATGGGCCTTTTCCTGCCTTTGGGAAAAAAAAAAACAAAACAAAAGCAAAAAGCAAATGTCACGGCCTCATCCAGATGGAGACAAATGTAGCCCAGGCTGGATTAGAGTCCTTCTTCTCTTCCGGTTTGAAAGAAATGAAAACATCTTGAGGCACCCAAAGGTGTGGTGGGTGCTAGGCACTGGGCCGACTGTCAGCAATTAGTTAGGCTCTTTGAACTGCCTGCCCCAAATTCTGCCTCGCCAAGGACTGAGGCGTGGGCCTCAGTTTACTTCTCTATAAAGGGGATGACCGTAGCACCCAGGTCTCGGGGCCCATTGGGGGCCCCTTGAGATTTCACCTCGGGGGGCTCGTCTCAGCCCCGGCACAGAGTAAGTGCTCTGCTGGGGCCACCTGCTTCGCTGCACTTGAGCTTCACACTCAGGAGCCAAGGGCGGGATGCCTTCTGTCCTCGCCATGGGATAACCCACGGTCAGAGCCAGGAACAGGCCTGCTCAAGGCCACGTAATAAACGGCGGAACCAGGACTCCGAGGCCATAGATCAGGCAGCTCCCAGGTCCCGGATGTTGATGGAAGTGGATAGTCAAGTTATCCCGGTCCCAGACCGGGAACGGGGAGGGCAGAACCGGGAGGGAGGCGCAGGCTGGGGCAGGGGTGTCTTGCCTCCAGTTCTGCCTGAGTGGACTCAAGGGAGGGGGCGGCAGCCAGCAAGTGAGTCACCGGGGGTCCAGGGCCAGTGGGCCTGTGGAATTTCCGAGTACAGCAGAGCCACCCCCTCCTCCATCTCTCGGACCATCGGGGCAGCCGCTCTCCCTGGGGGGACGAGCTGGCCTGGAGGGCTACCGCCCCACTGCTGGAGAATTTGGGAGGTAGAATTCACACCTGAGAGCATTCTCACTGCTTGGCTAACAAACAGGAGCCTTCCCGGGAAAGAGCAATGAAGAAGATCCCTAAGCTCAGCTGGCTTGCAGGCTCCTGCATAAATGGCCTCCCGGGCCCCTGGTGTCCTGTGCGTGGTCGTCCTCTGGGTGACACGGAGGCTGGGCTGGAGGCGAGGGGTGCGAGCAGAGGCCACGCTGGCGCAGCCCGCTGTGGGGAAGCAGGACAGACTCGGCCCTCCCAGGCCACGTGAACTTAAGCTTCTCAGCCTCTCTGGGCCTCAGTGGCCGCATCAGTGAAATGGGGGTGAGAAAAAACCGAGAATGAGGAGCACCTGGCACAGCCCCTGCTCGGAGCTCCGTCGTGGGCGGAGCTGCTGATGATTTGGGGAAAGGGGTGGGGAATGGGAAGGGCCCTGAGAACAAAGAGCCCCAGACTACCCCCCAAACTGCCTGGAAGCAGAGCTCACACCCTTTACTGGCCCCTCCTCTGGGGGCTTGGCTGAAGTGTCAGACCTGGAAGGATCGTTGCATCATTGGGCATTCGAGGGTTAATGATGGGGAGTGGACAGGACCCGGGTATTTAACTAATTGAGGAGGCGACCTGAGACCAGAGGGGCCGCTCACTTCCTTTTTCTGCAGCTCAGCTCCTCTGGCCCTGCTCCCCTCCCCTCCCCTGGGATGAAGCCTCCCCCTCTTCTGACGGTCCTTTGCCTCCTGGGTAAGTGACCTTTGTGACCTTCAGCTCTCCCCTGACCCAGCTGGGAGCCTCTGAGCCTGGCCCTGGGGAGGGTGTGGTGGGTCACCTGATCCCAGTTCTGCTTGGGTGCACCGACTATCAGTGGGTGGGTGGGTGGGGAGAAGGATGCAGCCTAGGGGAGCTGGGGGGGACAGAGAAAGGGGCTGGCAGGGACCCCAGACAACACACACAGCTCCCAGCCACCCACTCTCCACCCCCACCCTAGCTTCCACTTTGGGAGGATCTGCAGGAACTGGGTGGTTAGGAGACATGGTGGGAACAGGGTGCTTCTGGGGCTCGGGGCTGACACCTGGGGAGGTGGTCAGGACCCACTGGGAGACATTTGGGGAACAAGGGTGGGGGTGTTCTGGGAGGTGGTGCCGGAGAGCGGGAGGGGGATGGGGTGCCCTGATGTGAGGAGGGACGAGGGGGTCCGGGTGCAGTGGGTGTCACGGGGACATCTGGACTGACCAGCGCCACTGGCACTGGGGGCGAGGGGCGTGGAGATGTGAGCTTAACTGACAAGCAGAGAGGTGTCTGGACCGGGGGGGGGGAGGGCCCTCAGGGGGCCCTCGGGGACCTGATGGCACCCGCCCGCCTGCCTGCCCTGCAGTGGCCCTGGCTGGCGGGAACCTGGTCCAGTTCGGGGTGATGATCGAGAGGGTGACAGGGAAGTCGGCGCTGCAGTACACCGACTACGGCTGCTACTGCGGCATCGGCGGCTCCCACTGGCCTGTGGATGAGACGGACTGGTGAGCATGGGGGTGGGGGGGGTGGGGGGGCCTGCCTGGGGGGTGGGGGAGCTGAGGCCACGTGGGGGCCGCCTGTGGCCCGACCCCCAGACAGCCCCCGGCGGCCCTGCCAGGTGCTGCCATGCCCACGACTGCTGCTACGGGCGTCTGGAGAAGCAGGGCTGCGAGCCCAAGCTGGAGCGGTATCTCTTCTCTGCCAGCAGGCACGGCGTCGTCTGTGGTGAGTGAGCAGCCCTAGGGGCGCCAGACGCTGGGGAGGGGGGCCAGCGTCCGACGGGAACCCCTCCTGACGGTGACCCCTGAGCCAGACCTGGGCTGGAGGGGCAGGGTCTTCCGTCATCACGGAATTGGGGACAGGCGTGTCCCGCACCCAGATGTTCACCCAGCACCCCATCTAGAGAGCCCAGGGACCTAGGTGCCTCGCCTCACCCACAGGCCTCCCGGCTCCAGCCTCTGGGGAAAGGAGCCAGGGGCAGAGCTGAGCCAGGTGCCGGAGGAGCTGCACTCACACACCCTCCCCGGGCCTGCGAGGCGGCTGCCAGTGCGATCCCAGGGCAGAGCATGCAGGAGCTTTGATCTGGGACAGCAAACCGCATTCCCAAAGGCCGACCCCCGCACCCCGCAGGGCTGTGGGGCTGCCGGGCTAGGCCCATTTGCTCAGCTTTGCCAGGTTCAACACCCCCACGGACCAACTAGCTTTCCTCTGGTCCCGGCCCTGGAAGCAGCCCGAACCAAGTGAGAATGAGCAGGGCTCCATGCAGCCCTGTCCCCCGGGAGCCCAGACCAGATAACCAGGGGCGTCTGGAGGGAGAGCAGGCCCGGCGGGGGGCTCAGGGAAGCACTGGGAAAGTCTGAGAAGACTCAGTTCGGATCTCGGAGGTCTGTCCTGGGGGAGGGCGGAGCCAGGACCCGAGCCACCGGAGCAGGTCTGGCTCAGTTTCTTGCTCCTGCAGCCAACCCCTCAGTAAGGCGCTCCGTCAGGGAGTGAGCCCCCCTCACTGGGGGTCCAAGCAAGGCTGGGATGGCCGCCTGTCAGGACAGGGCTGGGAGGTGCCAGGTGGGTGTGGACACAGGCTCGGGGCTTCACCTCCCACGTGCTGTGACTTTGGGGGCACGACGGAGCCCCTCGAAAGCCTCTGCCTCCTCCTCTATAACGAGCAGATAATCGCGCTCAGTTGCCAGCCTCAGTCCAGCTCCGGGCAGGAGCCGCCCTGAGGCTGCGCCTGTTCCAACGCTGAGTTTGGCTGAAATAGCAGCCAGGGCAGAGCAGAACCCGGGTGGGACGCGGAGACGGACCTTCGCGGGGAGATGAGCCTGGGCGTTGCTGGGCTCTGAGGCGCATTCCTGGGGACAGGAGGGAGGCAGAGCCGCTGGGGCAGACGGGCAGTGAGGGGAGAGGGGGCTTTGGGCCCCGGTGCCCGATGCCTGTTCCGATCTCTGGGATGTGGGATTACAGTGGGCGCTGGGTGTGGGCGCACACGTGGAGGGGGGTGGTGAAGGTAAATGCCAGAAAAATGGGCTCCGTCCCCTCATGGAGAGAGCACGGGGTCCCCAGCTTCAGTGCCAACAGCCTCCAGGGGACGCAGGCTGCTCTGGGCCCGCATAGGCCACCTGGGACTGGGTCGCTGTCATTTCCTGACTTTCCCCTCTGCTGGGTGGCTGCCGTCCGCTGTCAGCCATGCTTCACAGGGGGGCAGGAGCTGCCTAGACACCCCCCCAGGCTGGGGCAGAGGAGAGTTAGGGAACCAGCTGCCCCCACTTCCCAGGGCAGGGGAGGGGAGGTTCAGAAAGGGAGGAGGGACACTCTTACAGCCTTCCGGCACCTGGCCCCGCAGGCCCTCCTGTGTCCCGCCCTGTCCTCACCCACCCCTGAGACACCCCCTTATGATCAGAGCTTCCGGCAGGGGCGAGAGTGTGGCCCCGGATCAGTCCCGTGTGTGTGTGTGTGTGTGTGTGCATGCGTGTATGCATGTATGTGTGTGTGTGTGTGTGTGCAGGAGGCAGAGCCTCGGGTCCCTGACTGGCCTTGTCCCATCAGCAGGCAGAACTGCCTGCCAGCGCCAGACCTGCGAGTGCGACAAGACGGCTGCGCTCTGCTTCCGCCAGCACCTGGGCACCTACAACCGCAAATACGCCCACTACCCCAACAAGCTGTGCACAGGGCCCACCCCGCCCTGCTGAGGCCGTGCCCCACCTCCCCCCTGTGGCCTTCCGAGGCCCCCACCTCTGGCTGCTGCAGCCCCAGGCCTGGGGAACACGGGCACCAAGACCGTCCTTCTGAAAAATTTCTGTCCTGCAAACCCATCCGTCCCTGAGAACGCCCCCAGACTGTGACCTGGACGACCACGGCCTCCCAGGCCATGTTCCCCTTCGGGAGAGCCACGCCTGGCCTCTCCTGAATAAATGAATAATGTTTCCCATCATTCTAATATCCTCTGATTCTATCGTTGATTAATATACAGTTTCATTCACTCATTCACTCATTCATTTTGGGGAGCACCTCCCAGGGGCCATCGTCGAGCTGAGCACTGGGACACCGCAGGAACAAATCCGACATGGGTGACCCTGCGTGCGGTTCCAACATTCTGCCTTTTGATTTCCCATGATAGCAAGTCTTTGTGATCCTTTTTCTAATACTCTCCCATCTTATCCAAGACAAGAGTGGCCATGTGGCAGGTTGTGGAAGCATGACAAATACTGTCCCCTCTCTGTCATCAGGCTTCACTCAAGTCCCTCCCATTAGCACACAGGCTAAAAGGAAAAAGAAGCTCTCGAATCATCTTTATCCAGATTCCTCTTTTGCTTGACAGGCATCCAGGGGCCAGGGAGGGGAGGTTCTAGCTGAGGGGTCCTCACTTCCAGGCCAGCACCCCCTCAGTTCTTCCTGGGTCGGTATCAGCCACTGACCCTCGACCCTCTGGTGGTCACCTTAGACAGAGCAGAGTGCCCCGGCCACATCAGACTCCTGATAAAGGGAGGGAAGGAACAAAGATTTGAACCTCATGGGGCTGACTCTGGTGGCATGAAGCAGGTAACGCATCAAAGGATTCTCCCCAGGTAGCAGGCGGCCTATCCTGGAAGCAATGTGCTTCGGCGGGTTCTCCTCCTGGACACGGATAGGAGGCCTCCACTCTCTGTAACACGCTGACAAAGCCTTGCAGGGCTGGGCTGAGCCTGTTCCGTGAGATAAAGAATGCAGAAGGGCGTTTCAGAGGGCAATGCTCACTGTGGACATGCAACAGAGTGAAGAGATCAAAGGATGGTCGCCATACACTTTAAAAGGCGACTACATTCTGTGCCAGCAAAACGAGGGGGCAGGTGCGCCGGCTTTGCTCAGCAAAGAACCTCCAGAAGGCCGGTGTTAAAGCAAAAATGGGTTGCGTGGGGAAGAAGAGCCACATTTGTTGGGAAAAGTGGTCCTGAGGCGCCCTCTGGTGGCCATTTTATTCAGGCTCCTCGAAGGAAACCTCGATTTGCTTTGAACCTGGATTTCCCTTCGTAGACATGGGGGCAAAGTGCGCTTCTGAGCGAGTGAAATCAGTCCCCTTGCCTTTTCAATAATAAACATGCTAAGAAATATCCAAGTCAGTCCTTCCAGCCGTCTGAGAGTGATGGTGCTGCTGCATAAATGAGAAACGGGAAGAAGGCACGGACTGGGGAGAGATGGAGGAAGGTTCTGCTCCAGATGGGCATCGTGATGGGTGTAGGGTCGCCACGGGGCGAGGGCCTGGTGAGCCAGCAGCTGTGCAACCGCCGGGCAGAGTGAAAGCGGAACTGGAGAGCAAGACTTCAGTGCACCCGCTGTGACCTGACCACAGACCAGGCCGTCCGCACCCTATGCTTTCCCAGGGATCAGTGCATGGGTGGTGAATGAGTCAAAGGGTGTGTGCGTCAATTCCATGTGTGTGTTTGTGTGTCTGTAGTATGCGCACTTGGTTTCCTGCTGTAGACTTGTAGAAAGGGCTGAAAAAATGAAACTGAGCCCTGAATTGAGGGCAGAGGGTCCAGGGACAGTCCCTGTGCTCTGCCACTCAGCAGCAGTGCCTCTGTTCTGGAGCCCCACTGCTTAGTGTGGCCTGCGGCGGTGGCAGCGGTGGTAGCAGCAGCAGCGGTGGCAGCAGCAGCAGCAGCAGCAGCAGCAGCAGCAGCAACAGCAGGCTTGTTAGAAATGCAGACCCCAGACCTGACCCCAGACCTGCTGAGTCAGGATCTACAGGTTAACAGGACCCCTTGAGTGGTTCGTGGACACAGGAAAATCTAAAAAGCATCGACGTGAACACGTACCCTCAGCTTCTGCATCTGCAGCACGGCGCGTGTCCCTGGCAGGTTGGCGGTGGCCAGGCTTACATAAGGCAGCGTGTGCGAAAGCACACAAACATAGTGCCCAGCACACAATAAGCACTCACATTCTGGGAAAGAATGAATGTCCTAATCACCACATTCGCGAGCCTCTATTCGGCATGTGGTGTTCACCAGGCACTCAGTATCTTTTAATTCAATGAAAGAAAGAGAAGAAAGAAGGAGAGTCGGAGGGAGGGAAGGAAGGAGAGGACAGAAAGGAGGGACATGGGCTACGTCAGCGCTGGAGAGGGAACTTCCTTGCCAGTTTCAGAGCTTGCCCCTCCACTGTTGACAACGGGATTTGGATTGGTGTTGCTTCCCCGCCCGCCCCCCTCCCCCGCCCCGCCACCCACTTAGCCCTTAACAAAGTACTCTGTTAAATACTTTGCTGAGTAAATGAGTGGCAGTCACACTGCCATTCTCGAGCTACTGAGAGTTCGGTCATGATTTCGTGGACATCCGCCTGCTCCTTTGGGGCTCTCTGCAGTGTATCCACTGGAGAACTGAATACCGTGTTAAAGTTCCTTCCTTGCCTCGGGGCTTTTCTACAAACTGCTCCCGGCTCCTTGCTGAATGCTGAGGTGGAGACAGATCAGACGCGTCCCACCAGCAGACGGACATCTGTTGGGGACCACTCTGTGTGTGGTTTTGGAGACTGCAGCCCCTCGAGAGCAGGCTCTGAAAGGGGCTAGTAAGTCTCCCTGGAAAATCAGGTAACGCAGGTGGCAGTCATGACATGACTCCAACACCCCAACACCCCAACACCAAGGGTTCCCTTGGGAATCAGCCCTGATTAATACATTGTATCCTTTGAAGCTTGCTCTGCTTTGTTTTGTATAGCGCTGGTGGTATAAACCGGATGTTTAAGTTCAAGGCATAAGGAGTAAGCACCTTATCTCACGAAACCCGTCTTAAAGACCCCCTGGCGTCAGCATGACTCACAGACACTGACCTATGACACATCTCTGTGCTCCTTCAGCTGTTATCTATAGATAATGCCTGTGTTTCTATGACTGTTTTGTCTGACTAGCTTTTGACATTGATTGATGAGCTATGCATGTATACACCTACACACACCATTCATTCCCTACAAAAGCCATTTGGGAGGACTCGGGATGGTCCCCACTAGAGGGAATTGCCACCCCTTCCCCACCGGAGCAGCAAGACTGCGTCCAGGACGATTTATTCGCATCCGCGGCGGACGGGAGAACTCCGCTGGACGCAGTGACTCCCCCAGACACCCGCCACGACCCTCGCACCTCGGGTTGGAGTTTCAGGACCAGAGGCTCCGCTGGCCTCCGTTCTCCACAGTCTCCGCCTGGTCGGCCGAGGACGCCTCCCTCTTCCCACGGCCTGACATCCACCCCGTCACTCCTCTGCCCCCTGAACCGTCGCCGGCTCCCCACTGTCTGCCAATCCCTGCCGTTCGAGCCTGGTGCCACCTGCTTTTCCAGCCGTGTGTACCCAGCTATTGCTCTGGGCTCCTCCCCACACCCTGAAGGTGCCACCGCCTTCCTGCCTTCGCACCTCTGCGCAACAGCTTCCTTCCCCCTGGAAGCCTCCCCGTGCAGGGGCTGCTCATCTCCGTGGTCAAGCCCACGTGGGTAAGGCGGGTCTCCACTGCCCCCTTTTCCACGGTGCCTCTCCACCTGGAGCAGGCTCCACCTCCTCCGAACTGCTGAGCCGCGTGTTCATACCCGTTATTTGGGTTCCTGTTCTGGCTTCCTCTACGGTGGAGGCAGAGGGCCCTGGGTTCAAATCTATGACCTTGGATGAGTTATTTATTCCCTCGTGTGTCATATGGGGACAGAACCATCCGCCTACAGGGTGGTTTAAAGGTTTAAATGAGACAACTTATTCCAAGTTGCTGGAGCGTTATAGAAGTCCCATCTAGACTAGGCCACTTATTTTTGTCTTCCTTTTTGTACCCACGGTAAATTGTACTAAAAGAAATCTGTCCCATCGAACCCATGGACACATAGTTGGAATTATCTCAGGGAAGTGGCGTCATACGTATGGCAAATGTTATGCTGATTTATTTGAAGAGCCCCTTGTCTCACTACTCTGAGTGCTCACTCCTCTTAAGTGGACACGTTTGAAAACCATTACCCTTCCGTGCCCTGAGCTGATGTCCCCGAGAGGCAGAGGCAGGACCGGCTGGGGAGAGCGCGCAGCCTTTTTCCTGGAGGGCGTCTGCCTGTGCCGTGCGCCAAGGTCAAAAGGCACACACGGACCAGCGGCTGACTCGGAGACGCAGCCAGGGCGGACTGAGCACGTCTGACCTCGGCAGGGTGAGCGTTGTCTCCCAGCAGCACAAGGCCCGAGACCGGCGTTCCGTAGTCCAGTCTCTCTCTGAACCAACCGCATGTCCGCGTGTTCTCAGCCCCGCCCCACACACCTGGGACGGCCCGCTCCAGGGTTCCGCTTGTGCTGGTCGTTCCATCCAGAATGCCTCAGCTTCCCACTTCCACGTCCCGCCTCCCCTCCCACGCCCCGTCTCCCCTCCCACGCCCAATCCCGCCGCTTCCACCCCAAGGCTTCCTTGAGCTCCCTCTGAGCCCACAGTCCTCCCTGCAGTACCTTCTTTGGGGGCCTCGTGTTCTCCCCGCTTCCACTCACTCCGGGACTGGACGCTGTTGAGGCCCACCCCGGACTCATGCCCAGAAAAAAGGACCCCCAGGTAGTGCAGGTTCGGTAAACGTGGGTGGGGGGAGTTCCTGGATGGCCGGGCGAACTGAATAAAAAGGGACTCTCGAGACACTGAAGCCCCTCGACCACAGGGAGACGCGGACGAGCTTCTCGGAAGTGGGAAATCTGGCCTCCTGCTGAGCCAGCGTCGGTGAAGTGGCAGGACCGGTCCTCGCCCCATACAACCAGAGAAGGGCTCGGGGTCTGCCTCACCACGCTCCCAGGGCGCCCCGGCCAGAGCCATCCTGGAGCAGGGTGTTTTGTGATGTTTTACTCGTGCCTCAAGGCGCACCGAGGACAAAATCAGGAGTGGGAGTCTCGAGTTGCAAAGCCAAGGCAAGGCCCGGTGAAACCCATCTTGACCTCAGAGTGACCGGACCCCTGGTGCGGGCTGGGCCACTCCCCCCCCGCCAGGGCTTCTAGCTGAGTCACCGCTGTCCCTGTGTGTCAGGCGGAGTGCGCCCCCTCCGAGGATGGGGTCCAACTCTCCGAGTTCCAAAAAGGCCCACGGGGGCGGCCACGGAGAGCTGTGTCCGACTCCTCTGCTCGCAACGGTCAGAGGCTCTCTTAGACCTCGAGCAGGAACCCCGAGTGTCCAGCCCTCCGGCCGGCTCTGTCAGTGTGCACTCGCCTGCACCGACACTCCCACCGCCGGTTCAGCTCAGCGAGACCCTGAACGCCCGTGCAGGCGCTGAGACAGCACTCCGTGAGGACACACCTCCCGCGCCAGGTCTCCAAAGAGGACGCTCAGCAGGAGGCGCTCGCAGACTCCTGTGCTCCAACAGCGAGTGACGGAGAGACACAAACAACGTGCACCTTTGTCTTTAAACTAGAATTTATTGGTATGCAATAAACTTTCCATAGATAAAGTGGCACATCTTTGCAGCTTCTATTGCACCAAGTATTGAAGATTGAAAACACAATAAAAGGAACATTTGGTTTTGAAAACACTGCAAATAGCCAAGTACAGTACTTTGGTAGATAAAAAGTGAAACGGCTCGGACTAACACAGTCTGTGGAAAGAGACGAACAGCCTAGAGGGCATGGACTTGGACACCGGACGACGGTCCCGTTTCTCCGGTTGAGCTCCAGGGATAAGGCAAGGCTTGCTGGGTCTGCGGGTCGTGACCCCACGGAGGTCTGACACTTACCTCCAGACTGAAGCTAGAACAAGCATAGTGCAACGAGAAGAGAGAAGGTTCCTGAGCCTGCGAGGCCCGTGCTCCCCACAGACATGCACGCCCTCCTCCTCGAGGGGGCCTGACGCCCCCGCACGTCTGCCTCAGGAAGAGGAACACGGAGGTTTGAGGTCCTGGCTCTTTTCTTCTCCCTGAGCGCAGTGCTGGTGGAAGATGCTAGAAGGGCAGCATCCAAGGAAACGAACGAGGAGAGGGGGAAGGTGTGAGGAGCCCCACACCAGTGCTCCTCAAGTTCTGGTCGAGGGACCCGCCAGGCCCAGGCCTGGGACTGAGCTCACGTGCTGGCCGTGGACGGCTGGCCGCAGCGACCGGCTGGCCGCAGACGTGCAGAGGGCTGAGGCCGGGCCCAGTTGTTCTGTCCAGAGGTCAAGGCTTCCCCGACCGCCGGCCCGGTGAGCCGGTCTGCACGCTGGGGGTGTCCTGCTCAAACACAGTCACTGCACGGAAGCCGTGCTTTCACCGAAGTGCAGTCTTTCCTGGTACCTCCCTCTCCTCCGGTTCCCCTGCAAGGGTGTTACCAAGCGGTCTCACGAGGGGAGAGAGGGAGACTCTAGAAAGCAACCCCTCAGGGAAAACGGTTCAGAGCCTAAGGGTTTCCAGGGGTTCCACCTGGGGACAGAGCCCCAAGCCGGGCTCCCGCGCTGCGCAAGAGCTGAGACTGGTGCTCTGTGACTGGTGCTCGCTGTCTCCGAGTCACACCTTCCACTCCCCCTCCGAGAGGAGACGGTGGGAGACTTGCTCCGATTTAAATATGCCATCTGGATCTCCAACTCAACGTCAGCCGAAAAACACAATCCACTCGAGACTCGGGAAAACACACCTGGAAACAGCGCCACGCCCCAGTCCCCTGGAACCGAGGTCGGGAGGCCCGGGTTTCAGCCACGCTGGTTCTGAAAGCTGAGACGGCCGGACAGCGTCCGGAGAATGAGGAACAGAAAGGCCGCGCCGGGCCCTGAGCCTGAGGGTCTGCCACAGAGGCCTGAGGTACTAACAGAGGCACCGAGCTGTGCGCCGCCCGGGGTGGGGGCCAGAGAGGCCACAGCCGTGAGGGCCGCAGCCTCGCAGCCCCCTCCCCACCCGCCCCCAGGCCCCGCGGCCGGCATGACCCCGCCAGCCCTGACGGGGAGTCCGGTTTCCTTTCGCCGACCGAACGTCCGAGCTGCACACTGCGCGGAGGTAAACTGATCGCACTCTGTGTCCACCCAGAAAAACCCGGGCAGAGTCTCGAGTTTCTCCGAACGAGAGAAACTGCACGTGGACGACAGGGACCCGCCCGAGTGCGGTCCGATGCCCAAGTCCGTCTGACCCCCATGTTTCCCGTGTGAGCAGCTCTCCCCGGGTGCGTGGTCCACCCCCGCCCGCCCCCACCGTACCGTTCCACGCTGCGAGAGCTCCCCGGGGAAACGGGGCATGTTACACCACCCACGCAAAGGCTCTCCGGGGCCCAGCGCTAGGTGCTCCACGAGGGAGATCCCCCTTTGCAAGGCCTCAGATCCGAAACGGGTTTGGAAGTGTCTTCAGAGCTTAAAAAAGAAACTACAGACGACCTCAGCCAACACTCAAGATTCTCCTTTCTGCCCCAATTCCTCAACCAGTGCTGAAGGCACATGTTCGTGCCAGTGAAAAACTGAATGCGCACGCACATTCTCTCTCTCTAATACCTCCTGGTGGCACCGGTATCGCCTACAAGCTGCGGTTCTCTGTTCTTTTAATAATACACCTACCTCTCCAGTACAAAGCTGTTGCCACTACAATCTTTTCTTGTTCTTTTAAAAAAAAAACTTTTTTTATTCATAAAACCTTCATGTACAGTTTCCAGGACTACTGAGCAGCTCTGGATGGCCGCCCCACCCTGCTGCTGGCCCCACCCTGCTGCTGGCGGCACTGAAGGCCGCCGCGAAGCCCCACGTGGCAGCCGAGACGGGACAGCGGGCAGGAGAGACCCGCCCCCTCACGGGAGCGCACGCACGAGGCTCTCCCGCGGACTAGTTGCCGACAGCGGCCGTGCGGGGCTGAACTCAGCCTCCCCGTCGGCAGCCCGTGAAGCGATTTTCAAGTGACTATGAAGGCAACTAAGTCACAGACTCCACCCACCTCCTTCTTCAGGGAAACCGAGAAGGTGAAGTCCACATTCAAACCCTCAGCCAAAGGCATCACTGCAGCTGGGTGTACACGTCCCCACCCCGATGGTTAACGTGCTCAACACGGCCCGGGCACAGCCGGGAAGCCACAGAACAGCAATAAGAGAACCTTACTGGAGCCATCGGGTTAGTTGTTAAAACCACTGCTCTCTTACCCCAGAAATGCTGGAGCCTGTTATCAGAATTAGGTACTTCATAAATAAATGTGCCCCATATTCTTTATCAACTTTTTAGCAGCTTCTACAACTCCTAAACCCCGCTAGGGCCCAAGGCCACCTTCACTAACAAAGTAAAGAAAGCGATTCTACCACTTCTGACAAGGAGTCTCCCTTAAGCTATTTCTGACTCCGAATTCTCCGGGATTCCTGGCGCACAGTCTTGGTCTTCTGGGGGAATCTGGTCTCCACGTTCCCCACCCCCGTGGAAACAGGGAGGCGGGGGGACCCTTCACTTGTCTGCGTGGAGCCCTGGTGCCCCTCAGATTCAGGGCTCTGCTGGCCGCATGGAAAGAACGCCGTGCGGTCTCTCCACCTGGCGACAGTGAGTGCGTCGTGCCAGAACATGCCCAGACTACCACATCCGGGGACCAACTCCTAGAGGCAACTGACGCTCCAACCCCAAAAAGTCACCAAAGGAAAAAAAGCAAAAAATTAAAACTCGTCATTAAACCGAAGAAAGCAAACTGCCTACCAGCAGACCACCAGGTGAACCCGGCCAGCCCGGACACGGCACGCCGCGCCACCAACGCCTGCCCACAGGCCCCCTCGCCTCAGCTCCGACACCCCAGATGGCGGAGGCAACCCTTCACCTTTTCATTGGCATGTCTTTCCCGTCTAAGTACCGGGTCCCCCAAAGGTAAAGACTATGCAAGACTGGCCACGTCAGACACTCCAGTCTCCAGGGTCACGTCCACCTACCCCAGTCTCAGGAACGACAGGCCGCCACTGCCCCGGTCTCTGCTGCCGTGGAACCGCGGCGCCCCCTGCAGCGCTCCGCGGGGCACGGCCTCTGCCCTGCTGGTCCCCCGACTCACCGACACTGTGTGGTGGGCGCTCGGGAGCTCCCCCACATCAGGATCCCAGACAGGGCTTGAACAGAAATAAAGGCAGCATTTTGTGGTTCATTTTCACAACACACACAAAAATTTAGCAACAGGTCAAGTTACCTTTTATTTCTCTGAAGGCAACTACGTCTAGAAAAGTGGGGAAGAAAATAGTTACAATGTGAAGACGAACAACCTCAGACATTCTTCCAGACATTCTCCCCGACATTCTCCCCTACAAAACCGGGTAACTCTTGAGCCTCTTCCCAGGCAAACACTCAAGAGCAGCCTCGATTTCCCCTGCTGAGCTCTCACGCTGCCAGAGCCCCAAACGCGCGCGTCCAAACCCAAGTACCGAAGTCTCAACAACATGCCGCCTCTCCCGCAGGGCCCGGGCCTCTGGCAGTCGGGCGCGTGACTCACACGGCTGCGGTGGGAACGGCAGCCGCACCTGTGCCCCGTCTGCAACGGCAGCAGAGTCAGGGAGGACGGACACCTGGTTTGAGTCCCGCTCGGACTGCAGACCACACCCCCGCTCCCAGAACTTGGGGAAAGCAGAGCACACACCCTGAAGTATTTTCTGATCAACGTGAGTTAAAATTAAGTCTAGCCACGTTCCTGAGTTGGAGATCGCTTACAGACTAGCCTGTATATTAATATATCTGATCAAAACTGAAAGAGAAACAAAGGAACCTTGTCATTCTGAGTTTCCGGCAATCCATCTAAACTACTTCATGAACTATTACAGCAAAAGTCCCCCCCAAGGCTTAGGGAAAGATCCCGGGCCGCTGAACTCTGACTCCAGCATTTCAGAACAAGTGGAGTCACACCCACAAGGCTTCTCCTGACCCAGCGATCCGCCCTGAAGCTCAGCACGTCCGTCACAGAACACGAACGAACGGCTTCCCCGGACTCCCGCTGAACCACACACATCGCCAACGAACCCCGAACGAGACGGCCCCGAGCACGGACACCAACCCCGGGCACGCTCCAGGCTCCCGGTGCTTCTGCGGGCTGTCGCCAGGGACCAGGGACGGCCTCCCCGGGGAGCCCGGTGCCCTGCACACACGCACGGCGCCTTCCATGACCTCCCCCAACACCCGGCCGGCCGGGTGAGTCAGATGTTGAGCGCGGCAAAGGTCTTCACCAAGGTGACCTGCGCGTTGGCCTCCGCCTCGCTCCGGTTATTATTGTCCCTGTGGCCGCCCCTGCTCTCCAGGGCTTTGTGACGGTGCCTCTCCTCCTGTCGCTTCTTCTTCTCCAGGCGCTGCTGCTCTCTCCGCTGCCGGCTGCTGACCTGCAAGACAAGGCCTCGGGTGAGGCGCCCGCTCCCCGACTCAGGCTGCACCTGCTGGGGGCATGGGGCTGATGGAGGTACAGAGCACAGGCCACCTCCCATCAAGACCAGGACAGAGAACCCCCCCTGCCCCCCGCAACAGAGCAAACTGACGTGGTTTCCATTACTGCTCAAATTTCCATTTAAATGTACACCCCATCCCCTTGTGAGCTAGCAAACAAAATCAGCTCCACTCTCCTCACAAACCAATTCAAAATGACCCCAGAAACACCAGCCCGAGGCCAGCAAGAGGCAGCCCTCCACTGTGCCAGAGGCCCAGGCGAGTGACGCTCCCGACTGCAGACCCCCCAGCATGTCTGCTCCGCCCGTGGCTCTTCACGTCAGGCTGCACTGTGGGCTCGGGCCTTCCTGGCGGGCGTCTTTCAAACGGCGTCTGTCACAAACTACTCATAGGCATGGGGGGTGGCGAGGGGGCTGCACAACCTTTCTGGGAAGCACTTGACAATTTACCAAAAAGCCTTTTAAAAAAAAATTAAATATCCATGCCCTTTAACCTATCAAGTCTTCTCCTGGGACTTTAGCCAAGAAAGTAATGCAAAATACAGATTCACACAAATAAATGCTGCAGGTGTTCACCACCGCACACGACATCTATTTAAAAATGGGCCTGCACAGCCCTGGCGGGGCGGCTCTCGGGCGGGAGCACCGTCCCCTGCACCAAAGGGCTGAAGGTTTGATCCCCAGCTGGGGCGCATACGGGAGGCAACTGATCGATGTTTCTCTCACACGTGTTTCTCCCCCCTTTCTCCTTTCCTGCCTCTCTAAAATCTCTTCTTTAAAAATGGGGTTTTACAGCGTGAATTAACATGGAAAGCAGCCGTGCCCACAGGAACGCCGGGTGGGAAAGGCGGGTGTGCACGCCCACAAAGTGCAGCTTCACCTCCGGTCGTCACCGCGTGCACCGCACAGGAGAGGGGCCTTCGTTCTGCTTCCTCCGTCCCTTACGCACTCCCCGTATTTCCTGCCACTTCATAAACCAGAAGGAAAGTATGCACTAAGACGAGCCCCAAGTTCCCACCGCTGCCACTGAATTACAGCGGCCCACCGCCCGCCCTTGCAACCCCACCTTCCGTACCTTTGGGAGCTGGTTTTTATTTGCTCTGTTCTCTTCGCTAGGGCCAGCCCGCGCCTTATTGTTGTCAGTCCTGCCTTCATTTAAGCCCTGGTTTCCAAAGATCCTGGTGCCACTGCCACCCTCCTCCCATAAAGGACCACTCTGCTTCGGCGCTCGGCCACTGGGCTCAAGGCTCTCCTCTGCATCTTCCAAAGAAAGGTATTTTATTAAAATTGAGAACCAAAAATATATAGTTACACAGATTGATTCCTATTAAGTGACTCCAAAATTACCTGGGCCCCTAGTTCAATATCATCTGGAGAGCAAGTTTCCTTGAGGTAAATTCTAACATCCAAATCAGTACAGCAGGGAACATAGGGAAAAAATATTGGCAAACTTTGGAAATTTGTAAGTAACCTGTTGGCCAGCCTCATCATCAGCTTCCTATAAGCAGAGTGTTTCGTTTCATTAGATAAACCAGTTTTTAACATGAATATTTAGGGGGTAATCTTTCATTTGCACCCCAAAGCCAGAAAAAGAAACAGGATCTAAAGCTCTGCTACAGTACAGCAGCCACAGCTACATGAGACTATTCAAAGTTAAATGAAACTTAAACTGTGGTGCCTCAGCCTCACGGAGCCACCCGCCCCGGACTCGGCACACCAGGTGGCACAGACACCGGACGGGGCTGCTCTCCAGTCACGGAGGCCAGGCCGTCGCTGCCCCTGAGACGGCCCAGCACATGGATCGAGTGGGTGGCAGCACGCCCCGTCCCACAGAAAACCGCAGCACCAGGAACGGCACCTGCCACACGGTGTCTGGCAGTAAGTATCGGAATCACTTTCGATGGATGACTCAAGAAAACTGTTCAGACATCACATCCTCCTTCCTCCCTCCCTCTGTGCCACAAAATTAAACCCAGTTCAAGTAAAAATAATTCTGGATTATTACCAGTGGACAGATGCTAGTCATCTAAATATTTCCACTGGAACAACAGGGTATTTTTCTCCCCATCCAATTTTAGTTATCTTTTTTTATTTTATGAAGAAATTTTATTTCTAAAAGGATAAAGTCTCCCCTGACACTCTCTACCCCTCTAAAATGGGGTCCGGCAGCCCTTCCCCGGCACCCTGGGTCCGCACCTCCGCAGGGCGACACTGTGCCAGTCACGCATCGGTCTCCATCACTGCCCCGCTCTCCCGGAGGCGGGGCCAGAACCAGGGGAGGAGCCTGCACAGACAGTGCTCATCAACAGTTGCTAAATGCATACACAAAAGGACAGTACAACTACTTCCTGTGACTTGATTAAAAACAAATATTTGGAAAATCACCAATACATTTTGAAAGCTTATAAATATCAATCATGGACTTACTATTTCTTTTCCCCTGGTTCATCTGAAGCATGGCAATTATTGCAGATTCAATATTGTAATTTTCAGCTTCCAGGTTCTGGACTATCAAATTAAAATCCTATCCAAGAAACAAAGAAACACTTAAAGACTCTGGAAATACTCTTCTACCTCTCTCTACTGCCATAATTTGATAAACAAAATGATGTAACAGTGAGAATTTAGACAAAGTTTCAAGACTTTTTCCATTTAGAAAATGTTGGTGTTCAATAAAGTTGGTCACATGAATAACAGGTTAATATAAATAAATACCCTTTATAAAATGCTTTTACTTGTACAAACATCAGAAAAAAACCCACATGCCCCCTTGGGATTTTGAGCAGTACTGGGTCAAGTCTACAAACGAGAGAGTAACGAATCAACAGCGCTCATTGGGCTGTATCACACGACCCCAGCACATGACAAGTGTCACGGGCCGGTCCCGGCCACGGGGTGCGGGCACGCTGCTGCAGAACGGGCAGGGGACCAGGCACGGCAATGCCGGCGTGGGGGCCGGGCGCTGCGGGGCGGAGATACTAACTGAGCAGCCGGTGGCGCTGCAGACTTTCTGGACAGCGTCCTCCACTTCGTCCTGCAGGTCGTCTTCGAAGTCGACCCCCTTTGTCTTGATCTTTTCTCTTTTATTTGATTCATCTTGATGAAGTATCTGAAACTAAAAGAAATATTAGGAGTAATCATCATGGAACTCTTGCAAACTATGTTCAAATTCTTCAACTAAGGAAGACACTCTAATCTCAAAAACATTGAAATATATAGGAAAAAGATTCCAGAAACAATCTTAAGAGCTATGAGTAGGCTAAATTTCATCCATGCACTGAGATTTCAGTCCACAGCAGAAGTATTAAAGAGAGCAGCCCAAGATATGGATCACTGTCCGGTAAGAATGGCATAAGAGCCCTGGCTGGTGTGACTCGGTGGACTGAGTGCCAGCCTGCGAACCAAAGGGTCGCTGGTTCGATTCCCTGTCAGGGCACATGCCTGGGTTGTGGGCCAGGTCCCCAGTAGGGGGCACATGAGAGGCAACCACACGTTGTTTCTCTCCTCTTTCTCCCTCCTGTCCCTTCTAAAAATAAATAAATAAAATCTGAAAACAAGTCCACAGATTGTTACAGTCAAGTGCCCATAAAAACATCGCTGGTTTCTAGCTCCGGGCTCCCAGCTCTCCGCCCGGCTCCTTCGGAGCTGAGACTCGGAGCTGAGACTACAGAAGCAAACAGAGGCCTCCCTCACATCCGTCTGGAGATGGGCAGGAGCTTCGGAGTTGTCGTTGATCCTCCGGACGCTGTCGTAGTGCTCTCCGTACCGATATGCAATGTGCAGCTCCCGCACGTTGCTCTTATCCGTGCCACGAATCTGGAAGCGAGAGCAGGGGACGCCACTGAGAATCTGGAGGGCGGCAGCCCCCGGAGGGAAAAACCACCTGGACGGCCCAGGGAGCCCAGTCGACAGGCTCTGTGTGAAACGACTGGGAATGAGCGGGTGCGTCCAGAGCGGTTCTGACTCCTCTTTCTCCCACCCGTGCACGTGCGTGTCCATGTGCTTGGTGTGGAAGCACGAGGAAATAAGTCCATGTGAAAACGCACATTTGAAACCCGGGGCAGAGTTCAGAGGTTAAACAGGCGTCAGCCCCTGGGCACTAGCACCTCCCTCAGGGCGGAGGCCCTTGGGGGCGGGGCAGAGGGGGGAGGCCCACAGGCGAGTGCAGACTTGCTTCAGCCCCACTTCCTGCGTCACACGTGTCCACATGGCTCCCAGGGGCACACGCTCCGTCCGTACCCACAGAAAGTACACAGGCTTCCATGTCTCTATTGCTGCATGAGCCCGCCTGTTACTAATGCGAGAGTTCTTACCCACGACAGTAGCAACCAAAGCGGTTTCAATTCCTAAATTTCGTAAGATGTGTCACTGGGGTGGGGGGAAGATGGGGGAGATCCAGTGAATAGTTCCATTATACAGCAAACATATTTATTTTAAAACACATACTTTCAATATTTAGCAATCCATGAAAAAGAGCACTATAAAAATGTATTTGAAAAAATTCTAACTATGCAGAATTATTTTCTACAACTACTTGCATAATTGAGGAGCAAACATAAAGTTATGCTGTCGAAGGCAGAAGCAGCAGGCTACGGTCACTCAGATGACACTGAGTGTGCTTCCCTGCAAGAATAGGGTCATTCTGCTAGATAATCAAATGATTCTGATGGCTTCTGCTTCCCAGCAGTGATTTAACGACACAGAGCTGGGGCGGTGAGGAAGGCGACAGCGTTCTTGGCCTGAAGACCGCCCTCGCAGAGAGCATCGCACCACAGGTGACGCTCCCCCCCACCCCCCGGCGTCGGTGTGCCCAGCGACACCGCCCGGAGAACACACCCCCACAGTGCCCTCCCTGTAAAATTCCTCACCGGCCCATTGAGTGTCTCATTATCTTGCTGTCATTTTGTCTTAAAAGGACATTAGGCCAGACACCAGGGCTGTCTACTACCATTAAGGTGACATTCTGGAGGGCCAGACTGTGAGAGACAAGTCAGACTGGGGACTGCCACGCCGGGGACATGCGGGGGGACAGGGGCTGCCACAGGGCACGTGGAGACGACTGGGGGTTAATGGGAAAGCTTTACACGTTGACAGGGACAGCGGTGGTTACATGACTGTATTTGCCCCAAAAAATACACGCCCGAGAAGGATTAATTTTCCAATATGTTAATTGTATCTCTATAAACTCACCTTTATTCTTAATAAGCAAAGGTTGTGGATAAACAACTTACACGGGAAAATACGAGCTGATGGTACATGAAAACAGTGAGCCAAAGGCCACCGCTGCCTGTGTCATGGTGACACACAGGGACACACGAGTGTGTGCCCACACACACAAGGACATGTCTAGGTGTGCGCAGGTGTGTTTGAAGGGTGTATAAAAACACCGCGATACCAATCTTCCCAGTTACGTATGACTGTCTGCACAGCTGAGAGTGTGTGTGAGTGACGGGGATACACACTACAATGTCAACGGTAACCATCTCCAGGGAATGTGACTCTGGGTGAATTTTATTTGCCTTTATTGGCTTTTCTGAATTTTCAAATTTTTCTATAATTCTTATATTTCAACTTAACTAAAAAAAAAAAGTGAGGCGTGGAGGGGGAGGACTGGCAGAGCCGCATGCCCAGCCTGCAGGAGCGGGGCTGCAAGGTGCAGGCAGCACTCTGAACGTAAGGAGGAAGAGCGCGGGCGGTAGCCTGTACACGCCGTCCCCCAGCCCTCGGCCTTCCATACCGAATGCCGGGTTTGAAAGAGGGAGGTCAGGGCAATTCAGGGTCCCAAAGCGCTGCGCACCCGGGGAGTAAAGGGAAACCACACGGCTCAGCGCCGTGCTCTGCCGTCCAACCGCACACGGGAGGCCTGCTGTGAAACCTCATCTGCTGCGGATGAACCGCGGGAGCCACACACACAGGCAAGCTGACCAGAGAAACGGAACTTGACATCCTAGGCCGTGAAATCAGAACGTCCTGTTTAGCGATGGTTACTAGGGTAAATTTGGTCTGTTCCCCTCCACCTAAAAAACACAAACATATGCGGGACTAGGCATACGTCAAACTACACTTCTGTGCACTGATCCTTTGTTACCACTTAGACATTTTACAGAATTATCGACAGTATTTCTACATTAGGCTCCCTGCCCCGAAACTACCCAATTAACTGAACATTGAATAATGTTCTGGCATTTAAAGGTTTCTGAATTATATACTCCAGACTGCATCTGAACTTGGCACAGGGTAACCCCAAACCACCTCAAGCTTCCGGGGTCTCTGGTCAGGCTCACAGTCCAGGCTACCCTACACGGTACAATAGCAACAGCCACGCCCCACCACTCAGGACACCCCCAAAGCAACTTATGAAGAAGGGCTTAAGATGAACTCTTGAATTGGTGACCTACCTGCCACAGTGGGGCGTTAAGTTGATGAATCACCACATTCAACTGATGATTTCTTGCAAAGGCCACAATTGCATCATTGCCAGCGAATGTACCAGGCTTTGCCAAACTGGCCACTGCATGGAAGCAGGAGAGAAAACTGAAGTCTTTGTAATAAGAAAACCCAAATGCAAGCATGCTTCAGCGCTCATTCAGCTCCACACGGTGAGAAACAAGGGCGTGCTTCGAAAAGGCCCGCCGGCTCTGTCCGGGTCTGGGGTCTGGGTGCCTGAACAGTGTGCAGACTGCTACTCGAGAGCGCACCGATCATTCATAAAAAAGGATTCGTTTACTTATTCCTTCAATACGTATTTGCTGAACGCTTCCTATAAGCCTATCTCTACAAAAGACACAGGAAATGTAACAATAGTGACTGTAATAGTTTGCACTAATGAATGCACATTATGTATTGAGCACGGCTTTCCTCCTCATGGATTAGCACTTTTAATCCTCAAAACGACACCCCAGAGGCATTATCGTGCACCCCATTTTACAGATGAGGAAACCGAGGCACGGAGTAATCTGTAACTGTGCCCGAGCTCACAGAGCCAGTGCACGGCAGAGCTGAGATTACAGCCCGGGCCGCCTGACTCCAAGAGCCTGGCTTCTGGCCGCGCTGTTTCACAGCCCGTCACAGTGGGCCCTGGAGAAGGTCACCATCGGTGGGGGGCGAACAAGAAAACAGGCCCTGTGGCTGTGTGAGTGCTACAGGGAAGGGATGCAGGTAAAGAATCTGGCCTTGCCCAAAGAAAGGTCTGACCTTTGTCCCTGGCCCCTGGGAGATAACCTCTGAACCCTTCAGGTTTCCCAAGTGACAGGAAGGTCTGTGCTATTTGCAGTGGGCTCCTCGCCTCTGACCACATGACATCAGCCAGACCTGGAAACCAGGGAACTAGGCAATCGGTCAATAACGCCCCCACAGTGAAACGGGACACCAAAGTTCGGGGGAGCTTCGGGGCTGACAGTTGTCTGCATCACGCACAGGTTCCAGGAGGACAGTGCATCCTGAGGACAACAGAAGCTTCATGTCTGGAACCTTCCAGACTCTGCCCTTTGGCTAAATTTGACTTATAACCTTGCCGTGTAATAAACTGTAACTGTGAGTATAAGACCCTTCAGTAAATTCTGTGAGCCCTTGTAGCAAATCATCGGACCCGAGAGTGGTTCCAGGAAACCCCACGCTTGCAGACCCAGGTCGGGGTCGTATGCCAGTGAGGCAGAGTGGGGGGAGGTCAGGTGTTACCAGAGATGCTTCTCGGCTTAGACAGCTAAGCTAATTCCCAAGTGACAGGTGGAAGACAGAGACACAGAAGGGAAATGATGTTCCAGGCAGAGACGAGATGGAGAGAGAGGAGAGAGGCAGGCAGGTCCGAGTCTGCAGGAACTCACCATGCTAAGAGAGCAGGGTGGGAGATGAGGGGAGAGAAATAAGAAAATCACGGCTCCCAAAGTGCTCAGGAGTTTGGACTTTACCCTGAAGTCAAGGGGCTGCAGACAGGGGAGAGATGTACTAGACATACACACAGGTCAGTACTCTGCTGCTAAAAGCAAACTGAATGGGTCAATGGACAATGAGACTATTCGAGAGAGCGCTGAACAGATCTAGGCAAACAACCACATGACCACAGAGGCCTGATCTCCTGAGGAGCCAGCAGGAGAGGAAAGAATACGGGGACAGACATGACAGGACTCGATGAATGACCGGGATAGGGAGAGACGGAGAGGAGGCGTCTGCGCACCTGCACAGCTGGAGAAAAGGCACTGCCGATTCTCCAAAGCCACCGTCTGAAGGAAAATAATCCTAAAAGATACAGAAAGATGCGAGGGTAACCAGGTCCCGAAAAGTTAAGTGAGCCATTCATCTATTCACTCAACAAGTATCTTCTGAGTGCCTCCAGCCCCCGCCCTCAAGAATCTCAGAGGAACAAGGCTGACGGACATCCGAAACCCAAAACTATGACACGAGTGACACCGCAGTAAGTCTGGTCTTCAGGCGACACGCAAACAGCACGTGCAGACCTCCGAGGCCCCTCCCTCGCCGCACGGCAGCCAGAGCTCCCTCTCACTCGGAGGCTCCAACTCCTCGTGAAGCGCCAGACAATGATCAGGGACGCGCCGTGACATTTCGAGAAAAGTTTTCCCACTGATACCTAGAGGGACTCACCCTGGACCCAAGTTCCTTGCCCTGTCACACCCCAAAATCTACCAAATGACCTTCACTGAGGATGTTGCAAGTGGAATTTCAAGTCACACACTAAAAACTCTCTTCATCCAAACTATTTTAATTGGATCAATGACACAATTCACTTTCTGCAGCTAAACTACACACCTCGCCCCACAGACCCACATTTAGCCTGTGGGCCGTGGACCACCCGGGAAACCGTGCTGTGTGCCAGGCGAAGGGCGATCCAGGGAGCAGGGCCATCAGCTCAGTGACTGGCAGCACGGACCCACGGGGTGTCTGGATGCTGTGCCCCTTTCACTGCTGGTGCCCAGGGAATGAGTCCGTCCCCTGTGAGTTGCAAATCACTGACAGCTGCCCTCTCCACAGCGAACAGCACAGCCCCCAGGCCACTCCCCAGATGGAATGAATCTTCACAGTCACCTCTGCCTCCCCCTCTCCCGTCCCTCTGCCTCCAGCGAGCCCTGTCAGTCAAACTGCCAGCGGTGTCCTGGTCTGGACCCCTGTCCTCACCCCCAGCAGCTGCCTTGGGGGAGACGCTCTTCCTCGTTCATCCGGCCAGTGCGGAGAGCCTCCCGACTCCTCGCCCTCCCCAGCCCCTCTCCCCATTCCTCCCTGACATGGTCCCCCGAGGAGTGCTCTGGAGCCCAGGAAATACTGTCTCTTCCCGGGTAAGACACAGAGCAGACTGAGTCCCATGATGGAAACATTACTGTAAAACATAAATATATCAGCACCCAGCATAGTACATCCTCAGTAAACACCTGTCAAATTAAAGTTTAAAAGCTCATACGCATTTTCTTGCTAGATATGTGCCTACCAAGGCATCAATTAAAATCACTAAAGATTTGCCCCCAAATAGAACAGGATGTGTTTGGGGTTTTGGTGAGAAATTAAAATAACTTTATTGATTTTTCTGATTATAGAAGTAATACATGATCATTTAAAATCAGGAAATTCTACAGCCCTGGCCAGGCAGCGCAGGTGATGAGAGCACCATCCCAACACACCCAGGCTGTGGGTTCCGTCTCCGGTCAGGGCGCAGACAGGGACCAACCAGCGAATGAGTAAGTAAGGGGAAAAACAAATCAAACTCTCTCTCTCTCTCTCTCTCTCTCGCTCTGCACCCCCCCTCCATCTGTCTCCCTCCCCTCCTATAATCAAAACATAAACATTTAAAAAGTTAAAAAAATGAAATCAGAAGAATCTACAGACACTAATTTAAAATACACATAGACCCATCATCCCCAGATGGCTAACAGTGAAGAACTTATTTTAATTATCTCACTCAATTTAATCTTCCCCAAAGAAGCCTGTAACAGGTGCTATTATTATCTCCCCTTTAGAGGAGTTTAAAGAGAGTAAGTAGGCTTCTGAAATAAGTGGAGTCAAGGATAAACAACCATAAAATGTTTGTCTTTCCAGAATTTTTCTAGTGTGTATATCTTTTAAAAATAGGACCAATCTGCCCTGGCTGGTATAGCTCAGTGGATTGAGCGGGGGCTGCAAACCAGGCATCGCAGGTTCAATTCCTAGTCAGGGCACATGCCTGGGTTGCAGGCCATGGCCCCCAGCAACTGCACATTGATGTTTCTCTCTCTCTCTCTCTCTCTCTCCCCCCCCGCCCCTTCCCTCTCTAAAATAAATAAATAAATAAATAAAAATCTTTAAAAGAAAAAAATAGGACCAATCTACGCACACTACTTTATAGCCTGCATCCCCCAAGTCCATTCACATCATCATCTTTATGAAGGGCGTTCCCATCAAAACCTGCTGGATCCCAACGGCCCGGCATGCGGCCCACCACAGAGCCGACGAGCATGTGCCGAATACACGCCGTCGTTCAGGTAACCAGACCCCCGGCTGGGAGGTGGGGAGGCCGGTGGATTTGGTTACCGGCGCGTTCCTCCCGGAGGATCCGGTGTCCCGCGCGAACCTACCATGTTTCTCAAAGGGGACGTCGTCCTCCACAAAGGGCTCGAAGTCGGCCCGCTGCTTCACCATGTAGTCCACCGTCTCCTGCCGGTGCTTGAGGTGGTTGCGCGAGTGGCCCTCCAACTGATCGCCGAGCGCTCGGAACAGGCAATTGCTGTCAAAACAAAAACGCTGGTCAAAACCTGTCAAAACTTAATTCAGCGCGCCGAAACCAACGCTGGCTCACGCTAGGCCGCCGGTGCACATCTTTCGCAAGGAGGAAAGAGGCAGCCTCAGCTGACGCTCCCTGATCCTCCCCAGACCTGCGGGGAGAGCGCGGGGCAGGTGTCCAACGACAGTGCCTGCGCAGCAAGTGACAAACCAGGACGCTTTCCCCCCTTAGCGGCGGGCTGACGGAGGAAAGGCATCCAACATCCTGGGCCTCAGCTGCTTCGACAGGCGGGGCGGTGATACACGCACTGGGGTCAGGACGCTGCAGGCCACTTCTCAAGGGCTCTGACTCCCAGACGCTCCTCCAAAGTGGTGAGTCACGTCTACGGCCTCTCTCCTGACACGCGTTTCACTACGGAGGCCCAGCTAACTCACGGGTCACCTAGCAGACAGTGTCCGCAAGATGGTAACCTGGCAAGCTCCCAACACAAACAACTGAACTCAGCGTCCTGCTCCGGCCCTAAGAACATGGGGCACTCGGACGAGGTGTGGTGGGTCGCACCGGCCGCGGAGGTCTCCCACCTCCCCGGGTCCTCCCCTCTCGCCCACGGGCCCCACTGCTGCTGCCACTCCTGCCCAGTGAAAACTCTGAACATGATTTTCATTTTGTGTCACTTCCCAAATGAAAATGCTGCTAATAAACTTTAAGAGTTATCATTACTTTCAAACCCCTAGAAGACTTCTACAATAAAGTTCCAAAGTATAGCACAAACACGGACCCAAGAGACACAGAGCCCGAAAAAGACACACACAGCCCGGCATCCTCAGAGCCAAGGAAACAAGCCGTTCTGAAGCCAAACAGTGGCCCAGTTTCACACCAAACTGTCCGCTCTTCCAAACGGAAACCTGTGATACTCTCATTCCAAAACATAAACGTATCACTTCCAGAAGGACTTCAGGCGTAAACGCACAGGAGAAAGAGGCTGTTTTTGTTTTTTCACCTTTCAACTCAGAAAAATGAATTTTCAACAGAAAGTTCTAGAGGCAGGAACCTCTTCAACTGTTTAAGGATTTATACTATTTTTTTTGCAAGGGGGCGAGGAAAAATGTAAAGATGACAGATTGTATAAACCAGAAACCAAGAAGCTTTGCATCAGCCGGAGGCGGAGCCTGGAGCACAGCAGCCCCACAGCGGAGCGAGGAGTCTCCCGCTCAAGTCCAACAACGGCGGTCTCCTCTCCACCACAGGGGAACAGATAAGGAACAGCGCATTCTCAAGTTTAAGCTTTCCTCTCAAACTTTTCTTAAACCTTTAAGCATCTGCCACCGCTAGGTCTATTCTTTAATCTAGCTTAAGAGGTGTAATTTAGCCCAAAATTATCTTTACTTATTTTTACATTTAATATATCCAAAGTCATGGTATTATTCTACAGAAAGGAACATGCTTTCTTAGAACTTTTAGGAACATGGGCAAATGTTCTCCATTTAAGCCAAAAAAGCGGGTATGAAACTACACTGCGTGAGCTCCAGCAGGCTCACCTGCACACCACACACAGACGTGAGCAAAGAAAGAACACCAAAACCACCGCCTAAACTCCTCCCCCCGAGTGTCGGGCACTGCTGTGCACACTCCACCTGCAGTAAGTGTGCTCAGCCCTCACAACTCTGAGCCGGGCACTATTACTATCCCCCCCCGCCCCAACTGGCAACTCGCTCAAGGTCACGTAACTAGGAGGTGGTGGACCCAGGATGCAAACCCAGGCACCAAAATGTCAGCCGTAGTTACTTTGAGGTAGCAGAATTAGAAGTAAAGGTTAAAGTAGATCATTAACACTTTCTATATTTACCAAACTTTCCTGAGCTCGCTAAAAATAATCGAAATGAAAAATCCAGAGAGACAAATCCCCTTTTTCTGACAGTGGCCAGCCCGGGTCCCCTGAGGGAGCCCAGCGCACCCGGACACGCGTGAGAACACGGCGATCACTGCCCAGAGGAGCCCCAGGGCACCCCGCTGTTTCCTGAGGGCACGCCCTCACCCATCACACACCGCGGGGCTCCTCAACCCCCGCACTACTGACGCTTGGGGGTAATTCTTGTTGCGGGGGGGGGGGGTTGTCCTGTTAACTGTGGAATGTTCAGGAGCATCCTTGGCCTCTGCCAACCAGATACCAGTAGCACCGCCACCACCTCCCTCCCCGCCAGCTGTGACAACCACCAAAAATGTCCCCAGACATTGCCAATGTTCCCCAGGGGAGCAGAGTCATCCCACCTTGAGAACCACAGTGCTACTGGGACATATGTAAGGGTCATGCATTTGCACCCACAAAACCAACCAATCACAGAGCAGCAGGTGCGAGTTTTGCGGGCTCCACCATTTGGTGTGAGCCGCTACTGTAAGAAAACCTCAGAGGCTTCTGGGCTGCAGTAATCCTAGTCCACATGCACAAAAAGGGGGTTGGTGGGGGCAGGATCTGTTCTCTTCTTCGAGGTCAGACTACAGCTAGAGGACTGGGTACCATTCTGGTTACTGCATTGTGAGAGAGAAATGTTCAGATGGAATGATACGGGTTTTTTAAAGAATTTATTTTTTGAGCGGGGGAGAGAGGGAGAGAAACACTGATTGGTTACCTCACACACACACACACCCCCAACCAGGGACCTGGTCCACAACCCAGGCATGTGCTGTGACCAGGAATCGAACTGGAGACCATTCAGTTCACAGGCTGGCGCTCAGTCCACTGAGCCACTCCAGCCAGGGCGAAATGATACGGTTTTAAAGTGCATAACTGCAAGAACATAAAGGGCTACTGATGTTCAGATGAAAGATATGTTATACTTGTACAATAATATAAAACTAGAACACTGGAGCTACAGAGACACAGATTTTAGTAAACAAAAGGAAATTTTATAGCTCTGTGGACGCAGACTATATAGACTCTGAATCTCATAAATTTCTGCTGGCCACCCTGAAGAATTCTGTACACCTGCACTGCACAACGTGGTAGCCACGGCCCCGTGTGACTGACTACTCAGCACGTGGCACGTGGTCCATCCAAACTGAGGTGTGCTGTGAGTGTTAAGTGCTGGACTTTGGTCTTTTTTAAATGTAAAATTTTACATTAAAAATTTTTATATTGATTATATGTTGAAATACTTTATAGAATGGCTTAAAACACACATTAAAATAGTTTCACCTGTTTCCCTGTAGTTTTTTAATGTGGCTACTGAAAAGATTTTAAATTACGTACATGGCTTCCACTGAATCTCTGTTGGGCAGCGCTGCCCTCCGTCACTGATCCTCAGGGTGTGGTCCCTGACCAGCGACATCAGCACCCCCCGAGTGCCCGTCTGGAACGGAAATTCTGGAGCTGCCCCAGGCCTGTTGAATCAGCCTGGGGCTGGGACCCAGACATCTAGTCACTCTGAGTGTTGTAGCTGGCCCTCCAGGTAACTCTGCTGCACGCTAACGTTTGAGAAACGCTAGCCTAAAATCTAAACTCTAATAAATCAGTGGTTTTCGATGATGGCTGCACATAAAAATCACCTCTGGACCTTTTAGAAGATTATCAATAAGCAGGCTGCCCTGCCTGAGATTCCGGTGTGGCTGGTCTAGGGCAGAGCCCAGGCGCTGCATTGCTGCCCAAGGTCCCCCCAGGTGACTCTACTGCGTCGCCAGGGTTGAAAACCACCGACCGTGCTAGACACAGACACAGGGCTGCTGTGCGGACGATGCAGGTAACTAACGGGCAGGATGGTGTGTGAATGCCCTTCCATCACTGAGACCCTACAATGACAGAAACAACATAAAAAATAAGATGACTTTTTTTGAGACAGAGCTAAGTGGCTAAAATTAGTGATTCCTTAATGTTTTAATTTTAGAACACTCTCATTAGTTGTGTAATTTAGGGGTACGTGGAGTAAATACAACTGGATATAGTTCATAGGATGCTAATGATGCTTGTACTGCCTAATGCAATTAGAGATTCTTTTTGCATATAGTCAATGATGATTTAAGGACAACATCAAGGTTAAAATATTTCTTTCTTGTTTTGAAATTGAATCCAATTTAATGGGTCCACTTTCTAGACAACGTAACAAATAGGAAAATGGCCCATGATGCATTACAAAGCCCTATAAATAGCTTCCTGGTTAATCTTTGCAAAACCGACTCAACTCATGGAAACATCGGACTCAGAGGACACCAGCTAATTTCTCCCCAAGCACCCGGAGGCCCCAGAGCGCTACAAGGGCCGCACCACCTGCAACGGATATGCGCTCATAGCAAGACGCTCTCTCAGGCTTCTCCACGTTGTAATCAGACCAGAATGGGAAGAAGGAAGAGTGAAGACTGTCAATTATTTTTTGTATTACTGTAACTTTATATCTCCCCAGAGAGCACTCAATAAATATTACTAAAAGAATGTGCTGGCTCCTGCCGGCCCACCACATGCACAGGAGACGCCCTCCACAGCAGTGACCGGGCCCGTCCCCACACAGCCGAGAGCGCTGTGGCACTAAGGGGGGCTGAGCCACGGTCCACCTCATGGAAACCGCAGGGGGAGTGGGCTAGCTTCGTGGAGCCCACACACGAGGCATTATCGTTTTACCTAACACTGTCCGAAGAACAAAGGCCTGGGAAGGGAGAAACACGAGCACTCCAGCCAAGCTGACTGTGGCCTCTACGGCCTCACTGCCCCCCGACTTCTAACACGCACCCTACACCATGTACAACGTGTAGGCTGCTAAAAATAATGTGCTCTGGTGCCTCACATGTGTCACCCCCCGCCCTGGAACGTCCTCCTGGCATGTTCCCCTGTGACCCGGCCTGCACAGGACCCCTCTGAGAGGCCCCAAGCACAGTGTCCGTTCGAGGAGAACCCGCTGAATGAATGAGAAGGCCGCGCTGACCACTTCGGGGAGCATCGGCCGTGTCCTCCTCCGTAGCGCTGCTGTAATCAAGCACTGTTGAGAATACATCAGACCTCATTTATTTATGTAATCCATGCTCAAAGTGCGGCCCAGTGTGGGGGTCTGCAGCTCTGAGCCCCCGTCAGGGCATCCACGAATTCAGCATTGAGATGGCACTTCTCTCTGTCACGCTCACTGTCCCACAAGCGTGCGGTGTTCTGCAGAAGCCACCTGATAGACGGGCCGTCGCTCTGAGCCAATGCAACGTGTTTGTGTAGTCTTGCTTTGAATCTTTCTCTTTTCCTTTCTGAGATAGCAAATATTGCTAGCTATAACCCACATACACAGAAGCTCTTTGGGATCCCCAATAATTTTTAAGAGTGTAAAGGGGTCCTAAGACTACAATGTTTGAGACCCACTCTCAAACATTTCTGATTAGACTAGGAACTCGGTATCTTAGTCTTCAGTGTAGCCCCAGCTCCTTGCTTAACCAACACCTGCTCAGCTAACTACAGGAGAGCACTCTTCGTGTGGTGGGTGGGGAGGTATCACCCCCAGTCTCCCAGAGCACAGGAACGCTCCCTCCAGATCTTGCAACTCCCCGTGGTGTGATTCCTGCTCATAAGCAGCCTTCTGTTGAGTATTTCCATTTCCTGGGCACCCTAACACTGAGAACACCATACCCAGCACAGCAGACACAACCCTAACGCTGAGAACATTGTACCAGAACAGCAGACACAAGCAGTCCAAGCCTGTGCGAGGAACAGCCCCACCCCAACTCCACTACGAAGTATTCAACTGGTGCTCTGATTTACATAGCAGTGTCTTGTACTTTTGAGTTTGCTTAAAATAAGGCCCTGAAAAGTTAATTTAAAACTTTATATCCAAACAACATCAAAGTACTACATGAAAAGCAAGATCCAACAAAGCAAGTCTTTGACTGCAAGGACTCCACTAAGGAAATGCCCCTTTGAGAGGCCCTGGTGAGGGTCTAGCTGGCCTCCCTCTATGATATTTCTATTTTTCATTCATTCAACAAAAATGCACCGAATGCCTCTATGTACTCAGCTGTGCTAAGGTGGTGGTGAATAAAATATAATCAAACTCCAAATCCAGTTAGTTTACAGCACTGAGCACATGTAGGAAAGATGGGGAAGGAAAATCAGCCAGTTCCTAGCGGTCCTGATTAATAACTGTTCTCCTCCCTCCTCCCCTCCCCTCCCCCTTCCATCCAGGCTCCTGTTTCCACATCCCCTTTCCCGAATCCGTTTCTCCTTCCTTTCTCCCACTCTCTCCCTCCCACCCATTTATTCATCCCTAAAAAGGCTGGACCTAGATTCCATTCCAAACCCCAAGGAAGCTTGGGTAAGCACCTCTGCTTACAGTGGAGGCCCATGGGAATAAGTAGAGAAGTTGCCTTCAGCCAAAAACAGGCTTTCACAGACCTAATTTCCCAAAAGGGGGCAGGAGGACCCAAATGTAAGGGTTCACAGGAGGCAAAGTGTTATGCCAAGTGAGGCCTACACCTCTATGACCGTCATTTTGTCCGCTTTACGTGCGGTCCCGCTCTTCAAGGGACTGGCTGCATCTCACCCCTGCAGGACTCAGCTTAAATGTCACCTTTCAAAGAGGTATTCCTGCACACCGAACTGAAGAGCACCTGCGCCGGTATTCTCTCTCCGGTAACGACTGGAGTGGGGAGGCAGAATGTGAGATTACTCGAGCGTCGCCTGGGAGGGGCCTCGCCGTCTCGCCCGCCACTGGACCCCCAGTCCTGGGGAGCGGGTGGGGAGCGGCTGGCTCTCAGGGCCGCCGAAATGAGTGGGCGGGCGACGGTCGCCTAGCCCGGCGCGTCCCCGGGCGCCGCCCCCCCCCCACCCTCAGCTCTCCCGGGCCCGCCTCACCCGTCCCCCGGCACCTCCCGCAGCTTCAGCCCCAGGGCCTGCAGCTGGTTAGCGAAGCTCACGAACTCCTCCTCGCAGCCGCCGCCGCCGCCGCCGGACTCAGGCCGGTTCCGCCGCTCCTTGGCCAGGGCCCGGCGGGCCGCCCGCTCGTCCCGCTTGCGCTCGGCCTCGGCTTTCCGGCCGCCGCTGCCCGGCCGGCTCTTCGCCGCCTGCTTTCGGGACATGGCCTTGGCCCCGCGGCCCGCAGCAGCGGGAGGAAGAGCCGCAGGACCGCGGGGCGGCCACTGTGGTGCACAGAACGGGAAGCGCAGCGGCCGAAGGAGCCCAGCGACGGCGACGCGGTCGTCACGGCTGCGCCGACGCCAGGCACTCTGGTCACGTGGCAGAACCCCGCCCCCTCCGCGGTGCTTGATGATCATAGAGATCTCTCCTGGGCGGGCTAGACAGGCACGCATCTTTGTTTGCGCTGCTCTTCCCCCTAGCGGTGGGTAGTACTCCAAATGAGGAGCCCGGGCGTTCTGGGAGCATAGCAGGAAAAAGATAAGCCGGGGTGGGATGAGAGCTGCGGCAAAAGCGAGGAAAGAATGGAAACTAAAAATTTTAACTCTAGCTGTGAGCGTATAGTTAGGAGAGGCGCCTTCATATTCTTGTTTAATTATCCCAAGTTACAGGAATCTGAGAGGTTAGCTAAGTTCAGGAAGATCACACGGCTCAGACACAGAACTTTGCCCTGGTTTCAGAGCTGTACACTTTGTTTATCTACCCCGCCCTTCTCAGCCTCTCTAGTTTCCCTCATAACTCAAGGGAGAGGTGCCTTTGTCCAAAACCGCTGGCTCCTCTGGTCACCTTGATTCCGCCCAGGGCGAACAACCTGGGTTTGTCTGGACCGAGGGTCTTCCTGGGACGCAGGCGTACCAGGATAGTCAGTCACCCTATTCCACACCCACCTGCTCTGGAAGCCGACTCCATCAGTAAGGGCCTCTACTCCCTCATTCCAGCTTCTCTTTCTTAACGGTCTCTTCCCATCACGATGCCACCGTCTCCTCCTCTTGGCCATCTAAGCAGTCTTTGTCACCATTCCTGGAGAGGTGTCTGATGTCTGCCCTTAACGATCTCATTTTCTCATTCCACTTACATGTTGCTCTTTGGCAAAAGCGTCCACTTCCTCAGTTTTGATGAGCATTTGTATTTATTTCTGATGTGTAAACAACCCCCATTTCAGGCCCTGTGCTAGGTGCCGGGTGTCACTCTGAACCAAAGAGACATGGCAATTGTCCTCAGAAAGCCCACATTCTAATGGGACATAGAGCCAACGGCACGGCAATCACAATAATATTCAAATGCTATCAAGGAGGAGCTACAGGGCGCTGTAAGGAAAAGTGAGCGAAAAATGCAAAAAGCCTTCCCAGAAGAGCTGAGTTCTAAGCAGAAGCTTAAAGGATGAGTAGGACTTGGCCAAGCTAAGAAATGTCCGAGCAAAGGGCGTTGTGTCTCCAACACCGGAGCTCAGTTCAGAGGAACTGGAGGGAGTGCGGTCTAACGGGCCGCAGGGCGTGGACGGTGAGGCAGGAAGTGGAAGAAAGGCTCAGCACCAGACAACCTCCTCGGATGTATGGAAGGGCTTTACTCCAGGTCCTCAGATCCTGAAGGGTTTTAATCAGGGAAATGACCTGCTCAGGTTTCTGTTTAGAAATATGTCTTTGGCCGTAGAGGGGAGAATAGGTTAAAAGTGGGATGCCAGGTAGCAGGCTCCTCTCAGTGTCCAAAGACAGGTGGCAGGGAGTGGGATGAAGGGGAAGAGGAGGAGACTGGAAAGGCAGATTCACACGTTATGAAACGGGATCGGACTGGGTTGTCGTGGGATGCACTGCACTGGAGTTCCTGCGAGTCTTTCTCTGCGGACCCTGCTTTGATTCTCAGGAAGGAAGAGCAAGGATTGTGCCCGGCTCTGACTTTTCTTGCACGGACATTCCAAAGCCTGCACTGACCCCTCTGCTTGGATTTTGTAAAGTTGGGAGGCAGCGCTAGGAATGGAAAATCCTTGCATGGGATGGCAGTGACCCTAAGTCTGGTCCAGGTCTGTGATTGACTGACTCCATGATCTTGGGTTAGCTATTTAACCTTCCTAGTTTCCGCTCCTCACCTGTCAAATGGGAACAATAACAATGAAGGCCAAATACAATAGTAAAGATAATAATGACAAACTTCTATGGTGTTTACTATGTACCAGGCACCATTCTCATTGCTTTACAAACACTATCTTGTTCATCATTACAGCAACCCAATGAAACATGTATTATTTTTAATATCTACTTCATAGAGGAGAAAACTGAGGCACAGAGAGGTTAGGTAACTTTCCCAAAGTCACACAGCTAGCGGGCAGCAGAACCAGGATTTGAAGCCAGGCCATCTGCCTCCAGAGTATATGCTCTTGACCACTGTGTTATACTACACATGTGATTGGTCATAAACTGCAAAGAACTCTACATCATACAAGAGTGTGTTTCATTACTAACTCTCATATGCTTCCCATGTGTGTCACTGATACAGCCTTTCTACCATCCCTATGGTCCCAATACCACTCTCACCTGATTTCCTACTTACCTCCCTCTGCGTCAGACCAGATCATCAAGATTGTAGAGCCCGATGGGCCTGCGTTTCCACCCTTTCACCTTACGCGAGTTACTTAACCTCTGAACCTCAGTCTTCGATTCGGCAAAATGACCACGGTGACAGAAGATCAGGTGGGAGAGTTATAAAGATTAAATAAAAATGCAAAGCCCCAGGCCCCTAGTAACTAGCAGCCTAACGCAGCCCTTTGAAGCATCCCACCGGTTGTGGAGGGTTCCGGAGCTCGGGGTAAACACTGCCACTGCAGACTTCAGAAACCGGGGAGAACGGTTTGCCACCACAACACTGGAAATGCAGAACGCGTGAAAGTAGCCACAGAAAAGCTTGCCCTTCTTGGAGACATCTTTCCTTGCGTGAGCCCTCGGCCTGCCAGCCCATGCCTGGAATTTCGAATGCCCTTCTCCCAGCTGGGCATGTGTTAGACCACGTCTCCCTCTGTGTGTCAATCAATGCTGCCTATACATCAGATCTAAAGGCCACAGCAGAGGAATACTTGTGAATTACCCGGGTGTTTTACCAACTTCACCAGAGTTCATTTAAAAAAAAAATCACCAAACCTCATTGTGTGGCACTTAGTACAAATTGTTTTTTTAAAAAGTTACTAGGAGAATTTTAGTGAAGAAGTGCAGCCTCGGGACGTATTATCAAGGCTGCGGGGAAACGAGAGCTCTCCTACACTGCTGTTGGGAGGTAAACTGGTCTGGCCACTTTGGAGGGCAATCGGGCCGTCTCTGGTGACACTCTAGAAGCCCAGTGACCCAGAAATACCCCATCTCGTCATCTATCCTAAACACCTTGTACACATGCCCTCACAGGTATGTCCAAGGATGCTTAAGGCTTGATGGGGTATGAAAGCAAATAATTAAAAACCATGCAAATATCCATCAATAGGAAAACGGCTTCTTAAATTATGGACCAGGCATTTATGAAATAGTCTGCAGCAGCTTCAAAGGTGGAGGTGGAGGGGAAACGAGGTAGGCCTACGGGAACTCACGCGGATAGCTTCCCTAGACACGCGGCTGGACCGAAACATGTTCGGCAGAGTGAGCCGTTCCGGGCAGCCTTCGTGTAAAACAGAACAACAACATAAAACAGAAGAACTGCGTGTTTTCAACAGGTATGTGTGTGCACTTAAATAGTAGGAAATGGTCTGGAAAGATAAAGCCCAAATCGGTAAGAGTGAGGAGGGAGGAAAGAGTGAATGTGACCTTATCTTTATCTGTAAATCTTTTTAATGAGGGCAAGGTAATTGTGTATTGTGTGTTATGATTAATAAAATATTTTAGTAGATGAACAAAATCCAGTCCTTCTTTCCCATTGAAGCCCTATAGCATTGGGGGGGGGGGGGACCTGCTTTATCAGCTCACTTGAATGTGTAATGAGCATATTGCTTTTCCTGAAAAGTTGCTATTACAACTTTTATTAGACTCAGTGGCCAAAGGACTTCCTCCTGGCCTGAGAGCCGTTTCGGCCACAGCAGCTCTTGCCAAATAACAGAAGAAATCATCACGGGCTCTCCCCTCACCATTTGTGTTCCTCAGGCAGTGGGAGCTTTATTAAATTCCCACCACATCCAACATCTCTCTGCGAGCCGGCGTCTTCTGAAATCCTGTTACTAACTTCTCCCCGCTCCATGCTCTCCCACTGTAATAATCTCAGCCCTGCGACGTACCCTCTTTGAAGGAGACATTCGACTTTGACATTGACCGAATATGGACAACTAGAGCTAACATAAGGGAACTCCCCGTAGGAATGCCGAGCTCCCGTGGTTCACGGATGGGTCCTATTTAAGACGAAGGAAAGCAGTGCGCTGGGTAAGTTGTTACAGCTTCTTTCCAGGTGGCCACGGTAGCTCCGCTACCACCAGCCACTTTGGCTTGACCGGCTTGACTGGAGCAGACACTTCAGCAGACCGTAAAACCGCAAACTTTTACACATGCAGTCCTTACTCCTCTGGGGCCGTTGGTATGCTCTGGAAACACCCCATGTTGGTATGCTCTAGAAACACCCCATGTTGGTATGCTCCAGAAACACCCCATGTTGGTATGCTCTAGAAACACCCCATGTTGGTATGCTCCAGAAACAGAGGGGATGTCTAACCTCTGGAGGATCTCAAATAAAGAATGGATTCTTTGTTAATAAATGACCGGTCTCGATCCCACTTCTATATGATCAAAGTTCCTGGACATTCAAAATCCACCTCCGGGGAAGCTCGAGGCAACAATGCAGCTGATCAAGCGGCGGGGACGGCTGCCTGGAAATCTGTGAAACCCAAGGCCTTCGTCACCAATGTTAATTACTTCCCAAAGGAATATGTAGAACTCATCATTAAGGATGCTCAATCTAGGGCACCGTACGAGGTAAAACTTGACTGGACTGATGATGGTTGCAGTCTCAGTCCACTGACTAATTTACGGTGTGGCCCGCATAAGACCCCTATCCTGTGAGCGTCCATTAAAAGACCCCTGATAGAAATGGCTCATCGGGTGGCCCACGGGGCAGCTGATAAACTCGTAAGTTTCATGGGTTAATGCTGGTGGGAAGGGAGTTCACGGGCCATCAAAGAGGCACAATTGACTTGTACTATTGTGTGCCCTAAGTACAATCCAGAAGAGACTGTCCATACCGCCCCTGGGCATTCTGACTTGTCTACCGGACCTCTCAATGCATGGCAAAGAGATTTTATCCAGCTGCCCCCTTCCTAAGTGTGTAAATTTGTCCA